GTATGTTATATAAATTTCACTTCAATAAAATATAAACGTATATTATTTTGCCAAATTTTTGATGCAAGGCTAAGGACTTTTCCTTAAATATATGTCCAGTAATTGAAGTCCCAGTCATCTTTCTGATATAAACCACACCCATAATATATACACGTTTTATTTCTATTTTAATTTCTTTAAATTGGAGCAAGAACTTAGATACTGACAAATCTATGTCAGAGTAGAATCTGTTTAGATGTTTAATGATTTCTTTCCATTTCCAATTTTATATCCATGAGAGTAACTTTTAGAAGCTTACATTTATGTCTTTGTACATTATAGAAACAACTTTCTGTACTTATATTTTATCAATTTACATAAGATTTCCTCAAATAACATAGCTATAACCATAGTAAAACTATTATAAAATAATTTAGACCAAACACATCTGACTCTTGGTAGGTATACAATGCAATTCAACTGGTGAGAGCAGTAGTAAGATGAGTGTATAGACAGCAGCTTATCAGCTTTGAGCGTTGGGGAGGGCAGGGCTGTAGTCAGTGTGCTTTACAAACGAAATTACATGTATCAAGTAAGCTGGTTAAATAGAGGCCACTTTAAGAGCATTTGTAATACAGTGGATGTCCAGAAGAAGGATGCTTAACCTGGACTGGGGGTTGAGAAACGTCTTTCCAAGGGAAGTGACATAAGTTGAGATCTAAAGGTGTGGAAGGACTTACCCAGAAGAAAAGTCAGAAGAACTGTTTCAAGCACTGGAAACAACCAGAGAGAGAAGAGAGGAGCACTGGAGGAACAGCAAGAAGTATTGCTGGAGTGTGGCGTGCAGAAGGGGATGTGTTGAAGATGAAACTTGGAGAGGATCATGTTAACCATGTTAAGAAGTTTAGACTTCATTTTAGGGACAGTGGAAAGCCATGGAAAATTTTTAAGTAGAGGACTGACAAAATGAGACTTGTGTTTTAGAAAGATCCCCTGGACTGCATTCCAGGGACCAGAATAGAGATGGTGGTAGGGCAGTGGAGGGGTGAAGGGTAGGGAAGTCCAGTGACGGGGCTACCAAGGGAGTGGTGAAATGAGCCTAGTACTATAGGGATAGAGAAGAGTACACATCAGCTCTGAGAGGCAGGTAGGGGGTAGACTGTACGGGGGTTTAGTGACCAAGTGTATTTGGGGGTGAAGGAAAGAAGGAAGACCAGCTTTGGTGATGGTGTCATTTGCTGAAATAGAGAACGTGGAACAAGAGTAGCTTTGGAAAGAAGATGAGTTAAACTTAGAATATATTGAATTTGAGGTCTAATGAAGCTGTGGGATGTCCATTAAGTAGCTAGACATGTAACTCTAAAACTGGATCTCAGCGGTTAAAGGGGCCAAAAAGTCATATAAGGTAAGGAATGGAAAGGATGCAATGAGTTTTATCAATGAGGAGGTCCCTGGTAACATTGGTGAAAGCAGCTTTAGAAAGCAGGTAGGCACATTAGCCCAATGGTAATGGGTTGGGGAGCGTGTGGGCATGAGGAAATGACCATGGGTACTTAATCATTTAGAGAATTTGGGATTTGAAGGGGAGGACGGAGTAGGGGAATTTCCAGAATAGCTGAAAGAAGAGTAGGGGATGAAGAACATATTTAAGCATTACTAAGATGAGTCAGTAGAAAGGTAAAGGCTGCAAACGTAAGGGAGGAAATAATGAGGGGGTTAAACCCAGAAACCCACACTTAGTATGGAACGCTGTTGTGAGGGGATAAGTGAGTAAGCCCATGTAAAGTATTATGCTCTGCCGGGCACAGTGGCCCACGTCTGTAATCCCAACACTTTGGGAGGCTGAGGCAGGCAGATAGCTTGCGCTCAGGAGTTCAAGACCAGCCCGGGCAACATGACAAAACCCTGTCTCTGCAAAAAACACTAAAATTAGCTGGGCATGGTGGTTCACGCCTGTAGTCACAGCTACTTGGGAGGCTGAGGCATGGGAATCCCTTGAGCCCAGGAGGTTGAGGCTGCATGAGTGCTGACTGTGCCATTGTTCGTTCCTTTCATTCTCTATGCACTGCCCATCCCCCATTTTGTTTCATCTGTGCCCTGATATAGTTACTTTGGCCTGTGCCTTTTTGGCTGCATACCTGTGGTTTTGGATAGTTACCCATGCAATTCTGGATGGACATCTAGGTTTAGAAACTAGTAGAGACTGGTCTAATGACTTGCCTGTCCCCTCTTCCCATATACGGCCTCAGCAAATCCCATTTCTCAAATGTGTACTCTCATTTTCACTGTCATGTTTAGCTGCTCAGCAGAGGTGATGGGCTACTAACCACATCTGAGTCATCTCATGTACTCTTTCAGACTTCAAAGTATCTTAGCTTTCCATTTTTTCAACTAAGCTAAGATGGGAGGTTTCTGTTCATTGTGGAAAGAGGCTCTTTTCTCCTCATAGACGTATTCCAATGTTTATCTTTAATTATTAACAAGAATTATTAAATGCTTAGTTCATTGCTTGCACATGGTATTCAAAAAACTGAATTTTCCTTTCCTTAGTTCTGTTTGACACATTTCATTTCCTCATTGCTCACCTCTTAGCCATTTTTCTGCCATACAGGCCCTCCTCCCTGTCTCTTATACACATCTAGATGTGTATAAGAGTTATACCTGATGTAAAGGACGAGTTGATGGGTGCTGACGAGTTGATGGGTGCTGATGAGTTGATGGGTGCAGCACACCAACATGGGACGAGTATACATATGTAACAAACCTGCACGTTATGCACATGTACCCTAGAACTTAAAGTATAATAATAATAAAAAAATAAAAATAAAAATCTGTCTGCTAAAGCCTATCAAATGCATTAAGGAAAAATCCCACTTGGCACATCTCCCAAACAAGGTAGATGTTTTTATAGGTTCAACTCTATAAAGACATTTCATGTAACTGTTTTGTGCTGTACTTATACCATACATCTTGTAGAAATAATATTAGATTCATGAATAGGAAATATTTTTATTAAAAGTGATGGGCTGGCTGGGAGTGGTAGCTCACGCCTGCAATCCCAGCACTATGGGAGGCCGAGGGGGGGCGGATCACGAAGTCAGGAGTTCGAGACCAGCCTGACCAACATGGTGAAACCCTGTCTCTACTAAAAATACAAAAGATTAGCTGGATGTGGTGGTGCAGACCTGTAATCCCAGCTACTCAGGAGGCTGAGGCAGGAGAATTGCTCAAACCTGGGAGACAGAGGTTGCAGTGAGCCGAGATGTTGCCACTGCTGCACTCCAGCCTGGATGACAG